ACTCAGAAATTCAGAAATTTAGAAATTCAGAAATTCTAAAATTCAAAAATTCAGAAATTCAGAAATTCTAAAATTCAGAAATTCTAAAATTCAGAAATTCGGAAATTCAGGAATTCGGAAATTCAGAAATTCAGAAATTTAGAAATTCAGAAATTCAGAAATTCAGAAATTAAGAAATTCAGAAATTTAGAAATTCAGAAATTCAGATATTCAAAAATTCAGAAATTTAGAAATTCAGAAATTCAGATATTCAAAAATTCAGAAATTTAGAAACTCAGAAATTCAAAAATTCAGAAATTCGGAAATTAAGGAATTTGGAAATTCAGAAATTCAGAAATTTAGAAATTTAGAAATTCAGAAATTCAGAAATTCAGAAATTCAGAAATTCAGGAATTCTGAGATTCTGAGCTTCTGAAATTCTGAAATTCTGAAATTCCAAAATTCCAAATTTCAGATCCCACTCAGAAATTCAGAAATTTAGAAATTCAAAAATTCAGAAATTCTAAAATTCAGAAATCCGGAAACTCAGAAATTCAGAAATTCAGAAATTCAGAAATTCAGAAATTCGGAAACTCAGAAATTCGGAAATTCGGAAATTCGGAAACTCAGAAATTCAGAAATTCAAAAATTCAGAAATTCTAAAATTCAGAAATTCGGAAATTCAGGAATTCGGAAATTCAGGAATTCTAAAATTCAGAAATTCAAAAATTCAAAAATTCAGAAATTCAAAAATTCAGAAATCCGGAAACTCAGAAATTCAGAAATTCAGAAATTCAGAAATTCGGAAACTCAGAAATTCGGAAATTCGGAAATTCGGAAACTCAGAAATTCGGAAATTCGGAAATTCGGAAATTCAGAAATTCAGAAATTCAGAAATTCAGGAATTCTGAGATTCTGAGCTTCTGAAATTCTGAAATTCTGAAATTCTGAAATTCCAAAATTCCAAATTTCAGATCCCACTCCCATTCCCCTAGTCGACTTTAATCTGGAAGCAACATTGGTACCAGGTAAGAATTTCGTCAGAAATTCAAAAACGCATTTTCGATTTTCCAGAATCCCAGCGATTCCAGCAGTTTGACGACCTTAAGAACTTGTTCTATTCCTCGAATCAAAATGCTGTCAACGAGAAATTGTTGGATCTATTGGGCTACAGTAATCCGTACTGCAAGAGATCTGCAAGATGTTTTTTGTGCTTTCGAGCGGAAAAAGATATCGACGGTGATTTTAACATTGCGAAGCATGTCTTTTCGGACCATCATCGCTCTTCCGTAAGTCTATTTTTGTAGTTTGTAGTCTTTGTAGTTTGAAGTTTTCAGTTAATTCAATTAGGATTCTCTCAAGAGATGGTCGATTGGTGGAAGACATTGTTCCGGGACGTCAGAGATTATAGAAGTTCAGAATCCCGAAATCGGAGGACGTCGAAAGTTCAGAAAGCTTCAGAAGTTTCGAAAAATCGCCAAAATTCTAGACAACGCATTCCGCTGATTGATCCACCGCTGCCAGGACAGCAATTGACTTCGAGTAGGTTTCTTTTGCTACAGCAACCCAAGAATTTAATTTTTTGCAGTGGAAGAAATTCAAACGATCTCAATGAGAGTTATGCAAAGTTCATAAATGCTGGACAACGGATTACGGTAGCGAAGAAAGCGGTAAGAATCTAAGAATTCTAAGAATCCTAAGAATCTAAAATTTTCAGCTCGTCAGCTGGAACTGTACATTTTGCTCGGATTGTACCAAAAACATCACGCTGAGCAATGAAATGGACACATTTCTACATATTGTGAAAGTCAATCATCAGAAGAAGGTGATTATTTCCAAAATTCAAAATTTCGGAAATTCAAAAAATCAAAAATTCTTAAATTCAAAAATTAAGAGATTCAAAAATTAAGAAATTCAAAAATTTAGAAATTCAAAAATTCAGAAATTCAGAATTTCAGAATTTCAGAAATTCAGAAAATTCAGAATTTCAGAAATTCAGAAAATTCAGAAATTCAGAAATTCAGAAATTCAGATATTCAGAAATTCAGAAATTCAGAAATTTAGAAATTCAGAAATTCAGAAATTCAGAAATGAAGAAATTCAGAAGTTTAGAAATTCAGAAATTCAGATATTCAAAAATTCAGAAATTTAGAAACTCAGAAGTTCAGAAGCTCAGAAGCTCAGAAGTTCAGAACTTCACCAAACGTTGTTTCAGATGAATGGTCAAGCTACACGGTCGGATTTACTGTATTGGAAGGAATGGGTCGATAGATGGGATGCCGAAACTACAGTAACCGCGCAATGTTTGATCGAGCCTACAGAAGTCCCACAAAATGTTCATGAAGCGAATGGATACATTAGAAGTGTGAATTATCTGTCTACAGTAAGAACTGGTAGTTTTTGAGAAAATATTTTTTTTTCAATAAATTGAAACAAAGTTGACGGGTCCAGCGTCACCACCACGACCGCGTAGCTCAGCGGGTAGCTTTTCACCGGCCAGTTTTGAAAGTTCAAAAAACATGGAAAATTTTAAAATTATGGATTTCACATTATCAGTTTTTTTGTTGAAATTTTCCAACAACGCTTTGTTTAAAATTTTAAAACGATACTTCCAAAAAAAGTTCTAGAATCATAAACAACCTTATAGAAGGACCCCCGACCATCATCAACTTTGAGCTCAATTATCGCGGTATCTGTAAAAAATATCAAAAATTTATCAACTGATAACATATTGCTGATATTATGATAAACATTTTGTTAGTTGACAACTTCTTGATATCTCTTATAGAAATCAAGATAACTTGAGTCAAAGTGTAAGGTCAGGGTGTCCTCATACCCTTGGAACACTGCCTCTCACTTCATACTCAATTATCTCGGTTGGTATAGCAGATATCAAAAAACGGTCAACTGATAAATTATTTGTCATATTGTGATAAATATTTTATCAGTTAATCACTTTTTGATATCTTTCACCGGAAACGAGGAAAATTGGGTCTAAACAGAAGGTCCAATATTTTACAAAGAATGTCATTGGGTTACATGTATGAAAGAATTTTTGGTCCAGATTTCATGAAATTGAGAATTTTCAGTTGTAGAAATCTTGAAATCTCAAAGCCAGAATTCTTGGTCCCTCGAAATCCAATAATGTGATTACATACTTGTTCCCCGGTGTTTCTAAATAAACACCTTCTCCAGAGCTACGTAATCTTTCTCACCTATTTTCTATTCACGTCATCCTATCCCATCCCTTTAATTCCCCCGTTCCGTCTCGATGGTCCATCGGGGGGTTATTGTAAAGAGGTGACGTCATACAGTTGACCGTTCGAAAGAGGCGGGGGGTCAAGAACACATGCGGAGACAATTCTTAGCACCTCCTCGCCGACAAGACACGAGCACTGTTTCATTGAAAAACGGAGAGGGAAAAACAAACAGCCATATAATAATGATATATAGGAGACGGATGGCCACACCAAAAACAAAAAGAAATTGAAGGACAAAAGAGAATGGACGAGTAATTGGAGAACGGGTGGAGTAGTAGGCAATCTGAGAGGCTTTGTCATATGTTCTGGTTTTTGGGACAGATTTGAATTTGAGTTTAAATTTGGAGATGTTCCAGATGAGATTCTAGATTTGGTGCTGAAAATTGGATCAAAAATGAACGAGCCACCTCTAGCGGAAGGCCACCCAAACTATCGACTTTGAGCTCAATTATCTCGGTCGTTGTAAGAGATATCAACATTTTGTCAACTGATAAAATGTTTGTCATTTTATCAGAAACATTTTACTTGTTGACAATAATTTGATATCTTTCCAAGGAACCGAGATAATTGAGTGTTCTCATATCCACTTCTTCCTATCAAGCAATAAGCATAAAGAATAGTTTATTCCCTTTGTCATTCAGAGCGCACTTACTAAGTCTAGCATTTATATTCCAGAAAATGTATTGTTTCTAAATTGATAGTCTATAAAATTTCCAATAATTTAGTATAAAGACCACAAAATTTGAACCAAAACTAGGCGAGTTGTGAGGATTTCAAAAAATTTGGATGATTTTGATGAAAACGAGAATTTTAGTTTCTTCAGAGCGCACTTGCAAGAGCCAATTTTGGTTTTTCCAGATAGTTCTTTCAATGCCTCAAATCCTACAAAATTGCCTACATTTTGGTATTAAAATTACAAAAATCGAATGAAAATTTACCGAATTATGGGACTTCAAAAAATCGGCAAATTTTTTAGCAAAACGAGGATATTCCGGTATTAAAGCGTATTTTCTAGAGCCAATTTTGGTTTTTCCAAATAGTTCTTTTAACATCTTGAAGCCCACAAAATTGCCTACATTTTTGTATTAAAATTACAAAAATCGAATGAAAATTGACCGAGTTATGGGACTTCAAAAATCGGCTATTTTTCATGAAAATGAGGGTTTTATTTTTTAGTTTTTTTAGAGCACATTTGTTAGTGCTGGTTTCAATTGTTCAAAAATATTGTTAATTATAGTCTTACAGTTTTTAAAATTTCCTACATTTTGGTATTGAAATTATAAAAATCGGATGAAAATTAACCGAGTTATGGGATTTCAAAAACTTGACAGGTTTTGATGAACTCGAGACTTTTTAGTTTTTTAGAGCGCATTTTCTGGTGCCAGCTTCAATTTTTCGATAACACATTTGACAAGAAAATGTAGCCTATAAAATTTCCAATAATTCAGTATAAAAATCCCAAAATTTGAACCAAAACTGGATGAGTTATGGGACTCTGAAAATTCAGATTTTATTATGAAAATGAGGATTTTCAAGATTTCTGGTTTTTTTGGGGTTTTGAAATTGTGAGATACTGAGATTACTTTCTTCGTGAAATCCTCTTTCAAAATCAAAAAGACATCCAGACCTACATACACACAGACAGACTTATTCAAATTTGGGACCCTCTTCCCCCCCTCTTCATGTTTCCTGTTATTCTAGGCAATCATTTTCTGGTTCACATCACGCATTCATTGTGATTAATTGCTGTCTTTCCTTTTCTCGGCTTCTCAATTACCCGAGTTTTTTTCTCTCTCTTCTCTCTCTCTCTCTCTCTCTCTCTCTCTCTCTCTCTCTCTCTCTCCAGTGCACCTGTCCCAGTGGGTGTCCACCCTTGACCGTCCGGACAGAAGCCAAGATGTCCGGGACAGAAGTAAAAGAGAAAGAGGTTGAGAGAGGTAGTGAGAAAGTGGAAATAATGGTTTTTGTCATGGACAGATACTCAAAGGTAATTGTCAATTTCACCGCCAGTCATGAATTGGGATTACTGTACTTTTTGAAACAAATAGGTCAAAAACCGGGGAACACAAAAAAAAGTCACATGGTTCGTTCTCTTTTTTCAAAGAAGCAAATCAAGGTGTGACCAAAATCATAGGTTTCTCTTTTTCATTTTTTAATTAAAAAACGGAAATCGAAGAAATTTGACATGATTCTCATGACAAGAAAAGAAGGTCAGACTAGAGAATAGGCGTTCAGAGATTTGGAAAAGTACAGTAACCCAAAACAATTCAACAGTTTCAAGATCTCATGGTTTCTGGAGAAGATCTCGAAAATTTTTTTTGAGATTCTGGGAGCCTGAAATTCCAAAAACTCAAACAACTTGAAATTTTCGATTTTCTGAATTTCTGAATTTCTGAATTTCTGTATTTCTGTATTTCTGAATTTCTGAATTTCTGAATTTCTGAATTTCTGAATTTCTGAATTTCCAAATTTCTGAATTTCTGAATTTCTGAATTTCTGAATTTCTGAATTTCTGAATTTCTGAATTTCTGAATTTCTGAATTTCTGAATTTCTGAATTTCTGAATTTCTGAATTTCTGAATTTCTGAATTTCTGAATTTCTGAATTTCTGAATTTCTGAATTTCTGAATTTCTGAATTTCTGAATTTCTGAATTTCTGAATTTCTGAATTTCTGAATTTCTGAATTTCTGAATTTCTGATTTTCTGAATTTCTGAATTTCTGAATTTCTGAATTTCTGAATTTCTGAATTTCTGATTTCTGAATTTCTGAATTTCTGAATTTCTGAATTTCTGATTTTCTGAATTTCTGAATTTCTGAATTTCTGAATTTCTGATTTCTGAATTTCTGAATTTCTGAATTTCTGATTTTCTGAATTTCTGATTTTCTGATTTTCTGATTTTCTGAATTTCTGATTTTCTGAATTTCTGAATTTCTGAATTTCTGAATTTCTGATTTTCTGATTTTCTGATTTTCTGATTTTCTGAATTTCTGATTTTCTGAATTTCTGATTTTCTCAATTTCTGAATTTCTGATTTTCTGATTTTCTGAATTACTGAATTTCTGAATTTCTGATTTTCTCAATTTCTGATTTTCTCAATTTCTGAATTTCTGAATTTCTGATTTTCTGAATTTCTGAATTTCTGAATTTCTGATTTTCTCAATTTCTGATTTTCTCAATTTCTGAATTTCTGAATTTCTGAATTTCTGAATTTCTGAATTTCTGAATTTCTGAATTTCTGAAAAACTGAATTTCTGAATTTCTGAATTTCTGAATTTCTGAATTTCTGAATTTCTGAATTTCTGAATTTCTGAATTTCTGAATTTCTGAATTTCTGAATTTCTGAATTTCTGAATTTCTGAATTTCTGAATTTCTGAATTTCTGAATTTCTGAATTTCTGAATTTCTGAATTTCTGAATTTCTGAT